CACTGGGCCGCCTGCAGCAGAGCGCGCGAACTTAACCACTCGGCCACGGGGCAGCCCCCAGAATGCACCCGTTTTAAGAGTACAGTTTGAATTTTGACAAATATCTCTGCCCACATAACCACCACTAAAATCAAAATATAGACCGTTCATGACCCCGGGAAAGTTCCTGTCCCTTGCAGTCAACTCCTCTTCACTCCCAGCGGCTGGCAATTACTGGTATTTTTCTATTGCTGTAGATTAGGATTTCCCAGCCTCAGCACTATGTATTAACATTTGGGGCTGGGTAATTGCCTGTTCTCAGAGGGTGCTGTCCTGTGCATTGTAGGATTTTTAGCAGCATCCCTGGTCTCTACCTACTAGATGCCATTGGAACTCTCTCTGCACCCCCCACTCCTGTTGTGACAACCAGAAATGTCTGTAGACATTGCTGAACTATCCCCTAGAGAGCAAAATCTAGTCCATTTGAGAACCAAATTAGTTTTTCCTAATCTAGCATTTCATACAGATAGAATCGTATAGGATACTTTCTTTGTGCCTGGTTTCTTTCTCTTGGCATATGGTTTTGAGATTCATGCAGTTTGTTACATGTACCATTCACCTGTTTCTTTTTACTGAGTGGGATTCCAATATTGATAAACTGCAATTTGGTTAAACATCCACATTTTTGTTCTTACTTTCTTTAAATCTTTAAAAATAGCTGCTTTAAAATATTTGCTAATTGTATCACCTCAGTCCTCTCCAAGTCTTTCTATTCATTGAATTATCTACTGGTTAGGAGTCACATTTTTCCCTTTTCTCATGTTAGTGATTTTCTACGTTGAGTATTGGACATTGTTAGTTTTACGTAGTTGAGTGCTGGATTTTGTTTTCTTTAAAGAATAATGGGCATTTTTTGGCATGCAGTCAAGTTACCTGTGGATCAGTTTGATCTTTCAAGGCTTTCATTTTTGTCTTAGGGTAGGTGTAGAATTGCCTTTACTTAATGGCTAATTTCAGTCTGTTACCAAGGTGTGACTTTTCTGGCACCTCTGTAGAAGACCCAGGTAGTTAAGGAGGACTCTTCCTCTCTTTAGAACTTGGACTTGCCTGGCCCTGTGGATGCTCTGTTGCCCAGCCTTGTGGAGTTTCACTCTGTACCTGCACAGCTGCTTATTTGGCAACCAGCTTGACGAAGACTTATATAGATCTCTGGGGTTCTTACTCTGCTCTTCTTCTCCAGTACTCTGATCCACAAATTTGGCCTCCTCAGTCTCTCTGCTGCTTGACGTCTGTCTCTTCAACTCAGCAAGACCTCCATGGCATCCCCCTTCCTGCACAGTGATCTTGAAAGTGCTCTCATGAAAAAAATTGCACCTGTTGTAAAGCTCACCTCATTAGTTTCCTTTTTCTCAGACATGACAGTCCTGAACTGTCTATTGGCCAATGTCTGAAAACAGTTATTTGATATATTTTCTCCAGTTTTCTAGTTGTTTACAGAAGAAGGGCAAGTCTATTCCCAGTTCTTCCATCATGACCAGAGCAAAAATCTGGTTTTTAATTTTTTTGTGTGATTATAAACATAGAATTTCATGTTTCCCAAAATTTCTATGTATCATTCATATTGTTCTACTGCTGTAATCACTAATTTAGAGTGATTGTATTCCTGTGGTTCCATTCCTCTGATTCCATTTCGCCTTGCCTCATTCTCTGGTCCAAGGGCCTTTGCTAGAGTAACGCATTGGCCTCTCTCCGGACTTCCTCACTTATTCTGCAGAAAGCTAGGAAGGAAGAAAGTTTGGTAGGTGAATTTGGTAAAAGGAATGGAAAATCTTGAATTAGCCTACTTGTAGGCTGTGCTTTCAAGTGAGCCTGTCTTTAGGTCATATTCACACCTTTTCTAACATGAGCAGTCAGGAAAGGCTTTTGGTTGTCTCTCATTGTTTGTGATTGAATAGGTTTGTTTGGTTCAGGGGACATGTTTGGAAGCCCATGTGGCAGCAGATCCAAGTAATGGTGCCTAATTTAGCTGTTTTGGTACTAACAGATATTTTGAACTCTGTTTATCTATTTCTATTTACTTCTTTTTTTTTTTTTTTTAAAGATTTTTATTTTTTTCCTTTTTCTCCCCAAAGCCCCCCAGTACATAGTTGTCTATTCTTCGTTGTGGGTCCTTCTGGTTGTGGCATGTGGGACGCTGCCTCAGCGTGGTCTGATGAGCAGTGCCATGTCTGCACCCAGGATTCGAACCAACGAAACACTGGGCCACCTGCAGCGGAGCGCGCGAACCCAACCACTCGGCCACGGGGCCAGCCCCTCTATTTGCTTCTTGTTGGCCCTAAATTTAGAGGGGGAAATAAAGAAATTATTATTCCCCTCAAATACAAAAAATCACAGGTATACATGTTTTTTTCAGTTAAGGTTATATCAAATCACTAAATATTTTTAACTGTGAAGAAGGCAAATTGAAAAGCTCACACTCTCATTGCTGGCTGGGGGAAACCGTAACCACAAGTATGTAAAGGATACCAAGTTGTCTCCTAAGTGTCTTGTAGTCACTTTGTGTCCAGCTCAGCATTTCTTTATTACCTCAAATCCAATTTCTAGCTTTCTACACTGGGCCTTTCAGTCCACCAACCCATAGATTCAGATGCATACCTGCTACTTCAGCACTGTGTGCAATCATAGGGCCTTGTGCTCTTTTCCTTAGAATGAGATGATGAAAAAGTGAAGCAATAGCAAATGTGAAAGCAGAGAAAAGAGCAGAAGGAGGGGTGTGGAGCAAGAGGGAAGAGGCACAGGATAACAGGATTTTTAAATAGCAGGTAATTTATGAAAGAGCTACATGGACATCTTCTAGTTGAAGGAGATGGTAGTGGTTATAAGTGACAGGGTTACACGTGGATAGAAAAGATGGCATAGAGAAGGAAACAAAGATGAAAAACAAACAAACTGCATTTGTCTTTGTGATCATGTGCCGCTAGTGATTCTTATTAGGCTCTCGATAGTTTGCTCTTGGGAAATAAGTAGATATTCTAAATTGAAACTGTAAAAATTCCATGTTAATGCTGTTGAATGAAGTCTTTTACCTAATGTATATCAAGATCCATTTAACATTAAAAATTTGTTCTTAATAACATAATTTTCAACAAAATTATCAGCTGTGATATTTGAGTTTAGATTAAAAGTTTTGAGAATTTTTGTTAAAAAGAATCATTTTCTCCTTTGACTTAATTTAATTTTTATCTCATTATTAATTCTGATTGAGGCTGGTTGTGAAATGTTACAGGATTATTCTGGTCTTGATATTCAATGAGAATATAGTAGATTAGTACTAAATATCAGAATTACATATTCTTTCAGCGAAACAATTCTTTCTGGTTTATGTTTATTTATGTGAGTATGCATATATTTGTTGTATTTATTTGTATACTCCTGTGTTTGTATGAAAGAGTATGTCTGTAGCTTTGATATGAGAAGGCTTTTTTTGTGACCTAAATGTCAAATAGGGCAAGGACATGTTTAAATTATTATTTATATACTTAATCATACAATTGGATATGTGATAACCATGAGGACTGTGAGGATACATAGCTTCTTATTTAGTGCTAAATAAAACCAATTTAGATCATAGGAATGATATGTATATCTTGATTGCACTATATATATTATAATCTGTGTGTATAATCTGTATGTACACACACACACATACACACGTATACACACACATACGTTTGCTTTGACATGTAAGGTTCATGAAGGCAAGAAATCTGGTCTGTCTTGATTGTTATAGCCACAGACTATATTTACTGAATGTATTTTTAGAAAGATTAGATGTAAAAATAAAATCAAACTAGTTTTGGTATGGTGGAAAGATTAATTTTTAAAGCCTGTATGAATAAAGACTTGCTTTCTTTCTTATAATTTTATTCATCTTAAGAAAATAGTGAAGAGTTGGTTGAAATTCTTTCTACCTGAGGTTGACCATGAGTTTCTTCCTGGTGGGATTCATTAGTCCAAAGCAGAGCTTAGGTGGGGGTATTTTGTAGTGTTATTATTCCCAGACCACATCGTGGGCAGAAGCAACCAGGCCTTTGACCCTAAGTTTTCAAAAGTTTCTTGTTGCCTTTTGATCCCCAAAATCTCCTTCAAGAAAAGTGGTAGAAGGTGTGAGTTCATGTGACTATCGATTCCCCCCATGCTCTTCTAGAAAATAAGAGAACCTCATTACTTCTTTTACTCCTCCTTGAATTTTTACCTACGTGTGTGAGGAAATAGGATATATGTCTATATGTACACAGTCTTGTATCCTTTTTTAGTGACACCTCAATCCTCGCTCCTATTTTTCCAAATGTTTTCTAATATAAAATCTCATGGGAATCTAAAATGAAAGGTGAAAAAAATCTCGTGGGAATTAAATGTAAATTTAAAAATAAAGTTAGGTGGAAGCCACCATGTATTCTTGAAATTGCTTATAAAGAAGAAAAGTTACATTTTAGCCACAGATACTCTTTCATCACCATTCATTTTCAGAGTAACGTTTTTTTCCAAGGAAAGAAAATAAATGACTGACTAGAGATTTTCCTATACTTAAGCTTAAGCTTTCTTTTTGCTTTTAAAGAAATGAGTAACATTGCACCTAAATGTACATTTAGTGAGTATAATATTCACATCAGTCTATGTAGTGAAATCTTAGGGTGTGCACTGTCTATTAAATATTCAGTAATGAGTCATGTTTGTATAAGAAAAAGAATATTCAAGAATTACGGTTATAAATGAATAGTCCATTTTATGAGCTTTTAGTAAAACAGTCCATTTTTATGAGCTTTTAATAAATGTGGTAGATAGCAACTGATAATATAAGATGTAATTACAGAAAAATGTTTATTTTCCTTTGAAAGCCATGTATATTCTATACTTTTTCTGGAATTTGTAACTGTTTACATACTTAACGTTAACACTTATTTTTCAGTGTACCTAGCATGTCTTATTATAATAATATAACATGCCATCTTTCTTATTAGACAGTGATCTTGGCAAACTTTTATTACATTTGAAAATGTCTGATAAGCAAACTGAGTGGATAGAAAACTGCCGAAGACAATTTTGCAAGCTGATGAAGGCCAAACCCGATCTAATCAGCGGAGGTGGTGAGTACATTTTTGAATTTCTGTGGGTTTTTTGGTATGAATATTATATTAATAGAAGCTGTGTTTCCTGAAGATTAGTACAGGCATGTCTAGAATAATACTAATTCCAGAAGTCTGTTGACTTCTGAAAAACTTGTGATTCTGGAGAACAGAAATTAAAATCTGAGAAACCGCTAAGCTTCTTTTGAACTCAGAGGTCTTGGCAAGCAGGACTGGAGCACTGATGCGCCTTTGCCTAGGTAGCAGTTTGCTTGGTTTCACTGGCTTTCACCTGAACATACCATACTGCTATATTTTGGGGAACTTTGTTGAATTTTTTCTTGACAGATATTTTGAAATTCTGCCACATCCAGCCAAATAAATTTCGTGAGTCTTAAGGAAATTTTGTTTTGAGGGAATAGCTGTGTTTTCTAAACTAGCTAACAAGCTGTTTGATGTTCAGATATTTATGTATGCATTTGTTTCCTAAAATCATCGTAATGTTAATTACATTATTGTGAATAAAGAAGGGCTAATAAAAAAGTTACAGTCTCAAAATAAGCTAGATTTCTTGAATCTATAATTTAAAAGTAATTGTCCACTTTATCAGCTGTGCTTTAGTTTTCATATTTCTATCATTTGTTATAAAATTAAAAGTGGGAAATAAAAGTAAGTTTATATTTTGTTAGTTGGAGAAATTATATTTTCAGAGAATAATGACATATCTATGACATATATATTTTATATATCTAAAATATTTGTAGTTATCTAAACAGATTTTGATATATTTGAATATAAGTATTTATATGTATATCTAAAATAAATATGCCTTAATCAAACATTCTCCAAAATTTTAGTGTAAAGTAAGCAAACTATGTTTTACCCCCAAATGTTTATAAAATGTCTATTATAAATATATATTTATCATTGGTTACATGATGGAGAATATTTAAAATAGATTTTCCATGGGTTCTGCACATACCAAAGGCACAGAACACATTGAGAAAGCAGCAGCTTGGTTTAATGTTCAGTTTAAGCACCATAAGTAAACATGTAGGTCCTGAGTTTCTCTCTAACGGGGAGAGTGATAAGACAAAAGAGAAAAATCACCTGTTCAACCATTATCCATGACTCTGAAGCAGGATAAACAAGTAGAACATTACGATTAAACTGTGTTCTGTGGGGATCTTGGGGCACTTCCCACAGGTCTCGACCTCAGTTGTTCATTACCCTGAAACCATGTCCACTGTTAGATTGTAAGCTACTTTCAAAAACAGACCTAGACCTCTGCCCAGTGGGGTCTGGTAGCTCACGCAAAACTCAGTTACTCTTCTTAGCAGTTTTATAAGATAGTCTACATTTTATGGATGAGGAAACGAAGACCTGGAAGTTTGAGGTAAGTAGCCCAGTTCACAGTGGCAGAGCCAAGACGTGAACCCTGGCGACCTGACGCGAAATCCCTGCTCTGATCCCTTTGCTGTTCTCCCTCTTTACACTTCCTCTCTAGTGCCTAATGTTTTGCACTTGAGAGGCAAACAACATTTATTAAATAAACACAGGTAAGCATAATGCTGGTTTAGATTGTGATGAAATTTCTGACATCTCCAATATCTCATAACATACTTGTTTCCTGTCTGTTAACTAAGCTGAACTAATTTTGGGGTAGATTCAATGAAGAAATACTAAACCAGTTCTCACTTTGGTGAAGCAAGCATGCTTGTTTGTGTGTATACACACATGTACAGTCTGACTCTGCAGTCTGGTTCAACCCACGTCTTAAATATAAGCAATCTATAGTTACCAAGAACCAAAGATTTAAAAAAAATTTTTTTGTAGAGGTAACATTGATTTATAACATTATATAAATTTCAGGTGTACATCATTATAGTTCTATTTCTGTGCAGATTACATCATGTTCACCACCCAATTTGTTGAGAAAGATTCACCCTGAGCTAACATCTGCTGCCAATCTTCCTCTTTTTTTTTTTGTATGTGAATTGCCACCACAGCATGGCCAGTGGCAAACTGGTTCCCATGCTTGGGAACTAAACCCAGGCTGCTGAAGCGGAGCATACCAAGCTTAACCACTAGGCCAAAGGGGCTGGCCTTAAGAACCAAAGATTTTTAAATTACCGTTTCTCCCTAAAATCTCTCTGTAAGGCTCTGCAATACACAATCAGTACCATGTACGTTCATTAATATTTTTTCATAATTATAAGTGAATGAAGTAGTCTTAATTTATCTGTAAGTTATGTGGTCTGAATCCAAAAGGAGGTGAACAAAAAGGAATTCAATTAACAAGAACTTAGTAAGAACCTACTTGTTGACTCCCTGTTCTGCTCCCCACTCTGGGCAGCTACTATCCTTTGTGGTAAGGGTAAAGGGTGGGGGAGGGAGAATAATCCGTCAGTAGTCTTCCCAAATTGATTTAAACCCAAGTCATCTAAACAGCTACCAGGAGAGAAAACTTCCAACTTTCTCAGACTTGGGCTCCTGGTATTTCTCAAGTTTACCTGCCAAGCTTTCGGCTTATAAGAAGAACAGGTGAAACAATGTGGATGTACAATTGTATGATATTCCTGCACTCACTTGTAAGCAGTCACTGGGAGAAGCAATAGGTTATATGACCCAGAGCTCACAGGCTCAAGTTAATCTTTTAAAACGTGTCAAATTCTTCCTTTTCATGAAGAAGTGTTTCACGGGGCCGGCCCGGCGGCGCAGCAGTTAAGTTTGCACGTTCCCCGTTGGCGGCCCAGGGTTGGCCAGTTCAGATCCCAGGCGCAGACATATGAACCACTTAGCAAGCCATGCTGCAGCAGGCATCCCACACATAAAACAGAGGAAGATGGGAACAGATGTTAGCTCCTGGCCAGTCTTCCTTAGCGAAAAGAGGAGGATTGGTGGTGGATGTTAGCTCAGGGCTAATCTTCCTCAAAAAAAAAAAAGTGTTTCACAACATGAATTAATTTCCTTGAGTTACAGATAATGGAATTTTCAGTGACTTGACAGTGAGTGAAGTGGTTGGTAATACTGAGATAAATAGCCCCTCTAGTAATTGTGCAATTCAGCTACACTTACATTCGGTTAGAGGAATGAGGCAAGGAGATTGTTGACACAGGTTCAACTGCCATATGGAAATCAGTTTTTAGCATGGTTCCACGACTATGGCCTATCCATCAAAATATTTGGAAATGCATGGTGCTGTTCATAAGGGTTGCTGGGCAAAATGAATATATTGAAATCAGTAGAAATCCAGAACCTTCTTCAGGTAGTTCAGTGATGTCGCTTTTGCATATTAAGTATAGAAGTACTTTATCTGTAAGCCTCTAATATATTGATTTAATAACATAATTTCATATTTCAAAATCAGTACTTGCTGGAAAACAGTGTGCTTTGCAGTCTGCAATTAGTCTGGTGACTCATAAGTTTCAAATCATATTGTGTTTAGCTTCTTCACAGATGTGATGAAGAATTTTCTCAATTCACTGAAGTGTGTTTCACTGTCTGTCTGATGGCTAAGCATGATTTCAGGCATAAGATTCAAAGAATTACTTAGCAGTATGCTGTGACTTTTCCCATTAACTCAAGCACTTTACTTAAATGCATAACATTAGCAAACATATGGTTGTGCTAAAATGAGAATTAATTATAGTGAGAGAATTTGTGCCTCTGCATGTGAAGATAGAACCAGTCTGAACAATTATAAGTTTAATCTGCAATACCAAGTCCTTTCTGACCCTCGACTATTGCGTTCTCGTACTTTTTAATGGTCATCTTATTTCAGTTTGAAATCACAATATAAGTAAGAGTTCAATGAATAAAAATTTTTATTTTTATCTTAAGCCATTAAAATATTGTGAGATGTAGCTTGTCAGAGCTACAGTTGTTGGAAAGCATATGTTATTCCTGTTTTTTACATTTTTCACATGTTGAACAGTGATTTTCCTTCATGAATTATGTGCTTAAAATGGACTTGGATGTGAAAAAGGGTCCATTCAATTAATATAGTTCATAGTATCTTGAATGTAACTAGGGCATGATTTTAAAAGATGCCTAAAGCTTACTTGCCATATGTATAAGCATATCACTCTATAGAAGTATTCCTTTTTAGCAAAATACTTCTAGATTTCATATTAATTATAATCCACCTGGTTATATCCATTTCGAGGTAATGTATGCAAACGGAGTGGCATTATCAATCCAGGCCAGAAAAGAATCATTTATCCCTTCTAAGCCAGACAGAGAAAGCTTACTTTTTTTTTAATGACTCAATCTCTCCTATTCCATTGACAGAAAGGCATCTTTTTCAACTTTTTCTACAATTAGAAAACTTTAGTGTTTTCCAGCAATTTTAGGTCCACAGCAAAATTGAGTGGAAAGTATAAGGAGTTCCTGTACACCTCCTCTCCCTGTACATGCAGAACCTCCTCCACTATCAGCATCTCACGCCAGAGTGGTACCCTTGGTACAATCGATGAAGCTACCTTGACACATCATTATCATCCAAAGCTTATAGTTTACATTAGGGTTCACTCTTGGTGGTGTACATTCTATGAATTTTGACAAATGTTTAATGCTGTGCATCCACCGTTATAGTGTCGTACAGAAGAGTTTCACTGCCCTGAAAATCGTTGCTCCACCTCTTCGTCCTCCCTCCCCACAGCCCCTGGCAAGCCTACTTTTGATCTGGTTGCCTTGAACAGATACCATCAGTTGGAAAGTATATAAAACACATACTATGTCCTGAATTTGAAAGGAACATGAGCTATGTGTTGATCCTGACCTTGGAGTTCACGTAATTTTTTTTTCTGTATGTGTGAATAATGATGATAAGATATTATAGCCTAATTAGTGATAATTTTCTTTCTGTATTAAAATCATTTAGCAAATTCTGAAGTAGTCCTTAGAGGATCTAAAGATAACAGATGATTCTTTTCCAGTTTTACGCTGAATAGGTTCTCAGTGTAGCTATTAAAATTTAATTTACATCAGAAACATTGTTATGAATATTAAAATATTATGTGTTTTGATTTGGACCCCTTAAGAGCATAACTGTGAAGAAGTTCAGATGACTTTTATCTGCTAGTTTGTAATTTAAAGATGTGTTATCATGTATTATTCTTGACCTTTAATATCCTAATTATTCTCTTGTTTATTACAGCTTTAGTAGAGTTACTTGAAAAATTTGTGCTTCATCTCTCTGAAAGTCCATCTGAATGCTACTTCCCCTCGGTGGAATATACAGGTACATTTTAAACATTTTGAATCTTGAAAAGTGCTCAGTGTGCAAATGGATAATATTTCATAGAGATGTGTAATTAGGTTACAAATATGCACCATGTTTCTCATTCTAAAACTTTCTCACTTGGTGCCATGTGCATTCCAGATATCTTTCAGTCTCTTCTGTGCAAATGTCTGGGTTTCATTATAACTTTCTAACTCCTGTTTGAGCTCCTTTTTCCTATCTACCCATTAAAAGTTGTTTTTCCTTAAGACAATGTCTTTCACTCTTCTGATTTTATCCACTATCCCCTAATGATCTCATCTGCTCGTATATTTTACCTACCTCATATATTGGTGACTTCTAAATTCACATCGTCTACTCAAAGATCTACTGTAAGCTTCGTTCTCATATTTCTGGCTGCTTAATAGGTAAACCTCACCTGGAGGTGCTACGGAAACCCTCAAACTCGAAATGCCCTACAGGAACCTCACCTCATCATATCTTATTGATATACATCCTCCTCCTATATTGTTTGTTTTGGTGAGCAGTACAATCATCTACTGTCTGTCTAAGCTAGAAACTGAGGAATGATCAACATTGAGTCCACATTTCCCTTCCGATCACTAAACCATGTTAAATTTATCTACTTATATCAATCTCTGCTCTTCTTTCTGTTGGGTCCAGGCCACTATTACTTCTTGTCTAGGGTATTGCAGCAGCCTCTTTTCCTGGTGTCTTTAATTAGAGTCTGATTTCTCTTTAAAAGCGTCCTTCGTGCTGCTGCTAGAGCACAAATCTGACCCACTCATTCCTCTACCCATTAGTTCACCATTGGCCATGCATAGAAGCCTAAGCTTTTTACTGTGATACCCAAGATCTTACATTATTCTTCCTCTTTCTTCCTCTCTAGCATCACCTCTTTCTTTCCATGCCTCATGTTTATTTTTCAGGAACACTAACTATTAGCAGCACTGCCAACTCCGCCCACCCCATACATATTCATTTATGTAACAAATGGATATTGGCTTCTACTACGTAATAGAACTTTTCTAAGCATTCGGACACAGCAGTGAACAAAAGGCCAAAATTCTTGCCTTCATAACGTTTACCTTCTGGTAGGAACACAGACAAGAAACAAATAAGTAAAAGATTCAGTATGTCAAATGGTATGGTGGTAAATGAGACATGCAAGGCAGGGAAGGGGTCTCGGGAGTGCTAGTTGGGAACGAGTGTTATAATATTAAATAATGTTCAGACTAGCAGAAGTGGGATATATAGATATTTTCAGGGAAAGAGAATTTCAGCAAGTGACCAGGAAGGACACTAGTATGGCTGAAATGGAGTAAGGGGGAAGAATTGTTGGTGTTGAAGTCAGAGAGGAGAGGATGATATAGAGTTTTGAAAGTCGTTGAAGGGTCTTGAACATAGGAGTGATGTGCTCTGGTTTACATTTTTAAAATCACTATGGCTGTTGTATTGAGAAAAGATTGAAGAAGGACAAAGGGCTACAGCAGGGAGATGAGTTGGAAGACTAATGAAGAGATCCAGATGAACAATGCTAATGGCTTGGACGGGGATGTCAGTGGAGATGGTGAGGAGTAGGTGGATTCTGGATTTATTTTGAAGATAGGGCCAACAGAATTGGCTAAAGATTGAATATGGGGTGTAAGACAAAGGGAGGAATCAAAGAAGACTCTTAAGTTATTGATCTGAGCCACTGGGAGGATGGGGATTATCGTACACTGAGATGGAGAAGAATGGGAGAGAAATAGATTTGAAAAAGGAGATTAGGAGCTTGGTTTTATGTTAATATTGAATACTTATTATACATTTAAGTAGACATGCTTCTTACATACTGGATATTTGAATCTGGAATTTAGGGGAAAGGTGTAGGCTGGAAATATAAATTGCTAACTCATCAGCTTGGTATGTAAAGTCAATACTCATCTCTGTCATGTCTTTCTCCTATTCTGACTTAATGTGTAATTCTTCACGTTACAGTAAACTCCTCTAGGGTAGTTTCTGTGTCTTACCTATTGTATCCTCTGCACCTAGAATAACAGTGTCAATAAATATTCGACAAATAAAAGAAAGAATAGATGAAAGAATGAAGGAAGAGGGCTTTATGTACTGTGTTAATCAGTTTCTCTTCATTTTAATAGGCGTTAGAGGAAACCAGTTAAGATTTCTGAGCAGAAGCTTCACTCCATTTATCTGTCTTAGGAAGATTATTTTAGTACCTGTGTAAAGGATCAAGTAAGAACTGCTCAAGGAGAACTGAAATTTGTCAGAAGTGAGTCTCCTGTACTCTGGGGTCGGTGAATGAAGAGATGGTGAAGACAGCAGGGAGGTGGCACAGGCTCATGATAACAGATTATCGTGATAATAGAGCCCCTCTTCCTCATAAGGATGATGTAACTTCTCTGTTTGTGGAAGAAACCATCATCCAAATATGTTATCAAGTTAGACACCACATGTCGTACCTCCATAAAAGGAAAAATTTTAAAAAAGTGCTTCTGGTCTGCCAGCCTATCTTTCTAGCCCCATTACCCACCAGTGCGTAAACACATCCTGTGTGTTCACCTCACTAGCTCCTCGCTCCTGCTTTTCCTTCTGGATAAAATTTTCCCTCCCTGTGACACCCATAGGATAATGTCCAACTCAACTGTAAAGTTGCAGCTGGAATGTCACCTACCCTCTTACTCCTGAGCAGAATTTCCTCCTCTGTGCTCCTATTCATTCACTTTAAACTAACATTTTGATATTTATTATATTGTATATGGCTAGTTTAAATTATTCCATTAGATCTCAAACTCCTTTGTATCTTTAATATAGCATTTGATATATTTTTATTGAATTAAATATACTGTTATGGAAGCATCTATATTCATGTAAATACATTTGTACAATTCTAAATATACTGGCATTTACAAATATACATATGAACATATACCTAATTACACGTAGTGCCATCTAATGCAGATTTGGAAAAGGGATGAAAGGGAACATAAGAAAATGAAACAAATGAGAGGAAAATACAAGGTAGCATTTAACAGGAATTTGGGTAAAGGGCGTTGATACCTATTGAGCATTTGTGAGTTAGTGTCTGAGGCACTCAATGTGCATTATGTCATTCAACCTTACAGCTGCTCTCTGAAGTGGGTATAATTATCACATTTAAAATTAGGAAACTGAAATACGGAGGAAAGAAAACAGAAATTGTGAAGAGAATTTTGAAGAAAAGCGTTTGTGAAGGAAATTACAACTTTATGAATGAACCTAAAAATATATGTGAAAAACATGCACGGATTAATTATCAAATCTGTGAGTAAGAGAGAAAATAAGTAAGAAGTGGTCATCGTGGAGATTAGCATGGCCAGAGTGGCTTTCTCTCCAGTCTTCAGTATAATCTCCAGTATCTAAGCTTTCCTTGGCATGTTGTTCTATTGGTTCAAATTTTCTGTAGATAATCTAAAATAAACACTATATTCTATATTATCTAAATGTTCAGCAAGACTGCTCAGTGTGCACACATTTTACCGTCCTCTGTTATATTTCTAAATTACGCTGAGGGAGATCTCATGTTAGCTTTGTTGAATATATCATCCAGGCAGATAAACTCTGAATGTGAATTTGAATTCTTTAAAGACTCCAGCTGAACAACTATCCACTGGAGTTTTGGGGTACAGCCAAAAATAAAGTGGCTTCCTGTTGATTGACTGCTTACTATTTATTATTATGATATGGTAAGCTTGTTGCTAGTATTGTTTTCTTTCCATAGCTTTAGATATCCCCATCCTTTATCATTTATTTTTTGGCTGGTGGAACAATGGTTTGCTATTATAAAATTTTACTCTATTTACTTTAAATAAAGAAACACCATGTTTTGATATAAAAGATGTTTCAAAGCAAACGGTGAATAGATATATTCAATGTTTTTCTGTGTTTCCTGGAATGAGAAATTGATTGTCTTTTTAAAAATGACAGCTCGCTAAACCCTAAGGTAGCTGAAATTAGAAGAACACAATCATCCATCTGTTGTTAGCTCCCTCAGGATTTCAGTCCATTATAAAATTTGCAAATCTGGAAAAATCAAATTAGTTTGGCTGTTTATCCCCTTAAAGAAAGGAGGAATGAACAAAGTTCTGCACATTTGCAGTTTGTAAATCCATACAGATATCTTTCCAAATCTTAACAGACATTAATTCTTTGTCCGCTCAATTCCCTGGAACGTGTTGGGGATTTTTTCCTACTGGAATTGCTTCTTTGAAATGATAAATTAAGTAGTACTTTCAAGTTATCAGATATTTTAATTTTATTCCTTTTCTCTTTATGTTGTTCACTAAACAGTTAGAAAAAATATCATAAAATCTTGTATTGTTTCACCTTTTGACTATTAAAATATTTTTACACCTGTTATATACAGTTAAACATCTTTTATACTTTCTTTGACTATTCAGCAAATATACTCTTTTCCATCTTATATTTATGGAGCATGTTTGTGAGTATGCTTGATAATTGCAAGGAGGTATATAATATGAATGACCCTGTCCTCCAGGAGGGGAAATAAGGCATACGCCTAAAATGATGACTGAGGTAAATTGCAGCATATAGTAAGATAGAAAATAAGGACATGAAGGAAAACTGACATTTTTCAGCTGGCTACTTCGTTTCAGGCAATGTGCTTGGGGCTTTATGCTATTTGAATTGGGTTATTGTCAAAGGAGGGGTTTTGTTGTAAGTGCCACAGGTATTCAGTGGAAAGAGTGATCCATGTTGACAGGTGCCATGTTGGAAGATAAGAGGAGGAAACCATGGTAGACCAGAAGGAGTGGCAGTAGCACTGCCTCCTGGGCTGTTACAACTGAAAGAAAGAGGAGAGGGCGTAATCACATAATCAAAGGCATGAAGAGAGAAATGCTTTTTCCAAAATAAGGCTGACTGTACCAATTAGGAGACTGAGACTCTCATAGTAGCTGGGTCACAAGGAATTGAATTTTATGTCAGGAAGAATTAAATAAAATGGGTAGATACAATCACATGTCAAAAAGAAGGAACAGAACCTGCAGACTGGCTTTGGGGAAGGAAGGAAGGAGGTGGGAGGAAGTATACTGACCAGTTGATCTCTTTGGGTGGTAACAATTCTCTGACTTGGAAGCAGATCCAGCGGGGCTTCAGGAGAGTCAGTGAACAGCCAATCAGTAACTGCTTCTCCCACCACGGATTTGTGCTCCAGTGGAGAAATTCTTTACTCTTCTGAAAATTTATTTTTTTCTACATCATTAGCCAAGTGTCATGCAGAATAGATTTAATTTTTCTACCGCTGCTTTGTGCTAGCTTTGCAAACCAAAGAGAGAACAGAATGCATTACCAGAGTGAGTGGTTTCAGTAATAAGTAAGTTTTTTCAACTCATTTCGTTCTAAGACTATTATATTTATAATTAAAATGATTGGTTATTTCAAATAGTTAATTTCATATTAATGCTGGGATTGCATTAGGCGTTGTTAAGTAAGTAGGTTAAGTATGATGCTACAGGTGTCCTTTGGTTGACAACTGTCCTTTGGATGTCAACCAAAATAAGTTTCAACAACTTATTTCGTTATGTTTTTCCTAGTAACTCCAGGGAGTGGGAGTTATATCATCTATTTGTCATTTGATTTCAGTATACAGAAAATATTTTTAAGTCCATATCTATTTCTATCTCCACTTTGCTTTGTTTGATATGTAAAGCACAGTTTTTGGTTGTTCATTGGATGTGTGTTCATTCATTTATTCATTCATCTACTCATTTATTCACTCAGTGTTTATTAAGCACCTATTGTGTGTCTTGCACACTGTTGTACCCACTTCAGTGAGTTACTGGTTACCAGTGATCCATCAGAGTCCCCTGAAGACATCCATTTTTATCATTGAATATTACGTAGTCTGACTATTTTGCCCCATCAATTTTGTTTAATTTCTGAAGATTTTAATTCCTGCTTCATAAATTATGTTTAGTTTGGGTTGTGTGTAACAAAAGATTATGTCACTGAACTTTTGTAGTCCAAGATCCATTTCTACTTGTCAGGTTGTCATATTCTATATCAAACACAAGTTTAAAACAGAAGCATCTCCTTTGGTATATATCCGTAAATCATTTTCTGACATCTATCCCTAAATCATTTTCTGACATCTTCATTCCTCCTTTTTATATCTTATACTTTTTTTTTCCAATGGGATTTTATTTACCCTAAAGTTATCTATGTCTATTTCATATTAGTAGTTTTCTGTGTGTGTGTGTGTGTGAGGAAGATTAGCCCTGAGCTAACATCTGTCACCAATCTTCCTGTTTTGTGTGGGATACCACCACAGTGTGGCTTGACAAGTGGTGCTAGGTCTGCGCCTGGGATCCAAACCTGAGAACCCTGGACCACCCGAAGCAAAACACTGTGAGCTTAATCACTACGCCACCAGCTGGCCCCTAGTGATTTTTTTTTTGAGTGGATATTTGTTTTTGGTATGCTTAATATCTCCATATATCCTCATTTAAAAGCCTTTATGAAGATTTAACTAGTACATTCTTTAAAGTGAAATTTGTGTAGTAGAGTATCATTGTCCAATTTAACTATATATAAACTTTTATTCCTTTAAGTTTGATCTCAACTTCAGTGCACAAGAAATAAGGTGGAAAGTTCTTTAAAAATACAAATGACTGGACATTCACCCTCAGCAATCTGATTCACTTGTCTGGAGTAGAGTCTGTTTATCTTTACTTTTAAACAGCTCCTCAGAGGATTTTGATGTACATCCATAATTGGGAACCATTGTTTGTTGAAATCTGCAGAGTTAAGTTTTTACTCTGAAGATACAGAATTATAAGCTTTTAGAGAGGGAATAAATCTGCAAAATTATTTGTACAACTCCAGAAAAGTTAAAGCACTCTTCTCAGGCCTGATAGCCAGACCACTCTGGAAGGACTCTTTCCTTCCACATGGAATAACTAAGAACCTAGACCTCATATGGCATTCAGTATCATAGTCCCTTTGGGCAACTTCTCTCACCTTGATCCTTAACTTTTATTCCATCCTTCATGATATGAAGGTCAGCATCTTCTGGTAGAAGCCACCCTGATCTGTAGAACACATGACATCGGGAATACCCATTCTTAGCACCCTTAGCCCACTGCACACTCCTCCTCTACTGTTAAGATATCTATGTATATTATACTTTCCAGGAGGGAAACGTAGTATTACTACAAGCATACAGATCTATATATTAATGAAGATAAATATTTCTCATGTTTAATAACGCAATTTGATATGTACTAGAATTTTAAGTATTATCATCTAATCTAACTTAAAATTGTTCTGGCAAGGGCTGACCCCATGGCTGAGTAGTTAAGTTCACGTGCTCCACTTTGGCGGCCCAGGGTTTGCCAGTTTGGCTCCTGGGTGGGGACCTACACACCACTCATCAGGCCATGCTGTGGTGGCATCCTACATGGAAGAACTAGAATGACCTACAACTAGGATATACAACTATGTGCTGGGGCTTTGGGGAGAAAAAAAAGAAAAAAGAGGAAGATTGGTGACAGGTGTTAGCTCAGGGCCAATCTTCCTCACCAAAAAGTATACCTTAAAAAAAAGTTATTCTGGCAATAGTTTATAAAAATCAATCTTGTCATTATGTCATATTATGATGGTTGATAGGAGGTAGGTCTATTCCATGGCTATAGGAATATATACAGTCAGAATGTTTGTATTATTGAAACTATTTAAATTCTGCAAAATCAGCCAATGTCACCAACACTATAGCACTAACGTTTTAGACGTTATTTAAACTTTGGAAACTAAAATATATTAATCATAAAATATAGGGTCACCAGGGACAAATTCAGGTTCTGAAACAAAAAGAATTTCCTGGTCACTACCCACGTGAATGTAACCTGACCGTGTTGTAGTGGACATTGGTAAAGTTGTGCTTAAATCATGGTTGAATTAAAAAAATGCTGTTAGGACTAAGAACTTGAAATTATGAATGATGATTAATAGTTTAAAAAATTGACCATAATTTTGTGAGCGTGAGAATAATTTATGTTATATGTGTTTTTGGTAACAAGTGATGGAAACACAAATCAAACTTTTTTTCTTTTGTCTAAGCAGAAAGAGGCAGAATCATTGGCTCATGCAAATGGGGTAAAGCTGTTCTCAGCAATCCATCTCCTTTCTCTGTCTCTCCCTCTCCTTGCATGTTGGATTTATTCCTCCCTACTGGAGACGTAGGGCACCTCATAGCCCCGTGATTAATAGGGGGCAAAAAATTCCATCTTCACTCCAGTTTGAAAGATCTGGAGAAGACATTGAATAGTCTCCCTTGCTTAACCTTTGTTGCTAGAAGTGTGAAACTGGTTTCCTTCTCCCCTAAGGATGGAAGGTACATCTATTAACACAGTAAAAGTTATGAATAGCAAGGAATTCTAAGCTATATAAACTATAGCTTAACCGCTGTCATTATAGGCAAAATGTAACAATATAGCTAAGATTGTGTTCTCATCTAAATAAGTAAAACTCGTGTAGCTTATCAAGAAATTAACTGAGTACTCATGTATTTTTGTTTCTTTAAGAAAATTACCACTCTAGTTAGGTGACCAACCAGTCTGATTTGCCTGGCACTGTGAGGAGCTCTTGCGGCATGAGAGTTTCAATACTAAAACCGTGAAAGTCCTAGGCAAGCTAAAGTGGGTTACCTTGACTCTAAGTGCGCTAAAAGATGAATTATTGCTTGTCCAAAGGGTAGATGGTTGATCACAGTGATGTTTAATTTGTTATTCCCTATCTCTGCAGATCTCAAGTCTACCCATATTTTAAGGTTCAGTTTAAGTGCCACTTCTTCCTAATCTCTCCTTTTTCTGAATTCACATAACACTTTATCTGTACCATTCTTTTTCCACTTAGCGCTTTAAAACATCTTTATCAGAGTTATCTATATACGAATTTTATCTCTGATACTACATGGAAAGTTCTTTTAGGGCATGATGTATGACTTATCTTTTATCCCCCATAGCTTCTAGCATGGTGTTCCACACTTACTTTATCAGAAAGGATTTATTAAATGGAATGAATGAGTCCATGAGTTAAGTAGATTATATTGATAGTATGAGATGCACCACTGTGTAATGGGAGGAAAAAAGAACTACTAAGATGGAATTCAGAAAACATAACTTTTGGTCCTCTCTACCACTAGATAACTATGTGATTTTGCATACTTTGCCTAATTGTGTGTGTGTGTGTGTGTGTAGGCACACTACAATTTCTTCAGCAAAAATTGAAAGATTCAACTAGACCCTCAGTGCTATCTAGTGATCTTTTGACTGTTCACTGTTAGGTGGGTCATCCACTTTTCTCAGGGACTAATCCAAACTTGCACCCTCTCCTCTAGTCCACTGTACTGGACGACCCCTTCTTCACTTTGCTAGATGATCACAATTCCTACTTCACAAGGAAAATCCGTCTGTAGGAAGAAACTTGTTCACTCCACCCTCATACATTGTTATACATTATAAGGAGAATACTGTTCATTCCTTCCTGACACTCATGTTTAAATCTGTAAGAAGTAAACAGCCATACTTATATGTATTTGTAATTCAAAGTCTTATATATGCATTGCTTCATGAAAGTACAATATTCTAGACCATTTTGGGGTTAACAGCTTTTGTGTTCTGAGAACAAAGTAAAAATAGATTGCTTTAAAACTATAATTACTTGTTGTGTATTTAATATGCTTTTAAATGCTTTTTATAGGAATAAACATTATTTATAAAAAGTTTTCTGTTAATTTCTTTGAAACTATAACTGACAGCTCTTAAATGAACAAATTCATCAGTTTTCAAAATTCACATTAAAATATGTAAAATATTGCTTTCATCAATTTTCAATTAAAATGTGATTATTATGCAGAATTTTATACATTTTTATAACCCAGTTTCCTATTGTTTTTAGCCACTGATGCAAATGTGAAGAACGAAAGTCTTTCATCTATGCAGCAGCTTGGTGTTAAAATGACTGTCAGGTATATCATAGGGAAATATCTCCCTTGTGCATTTCTAAATTTGTTTTATCTGCTTGATATGTGCTTAGTAGTATTTAGTTTAACAACCAACTATTTTGTACATTTTAAATGCAGAGTTTATCATTCAGAAAATAATAACTTTGTTTCAGGGATATTGGCACTTGATTAAATTACCTCTGTGCATAAATCAGTTACGGTTCATTATTATTTCAGAGGCTAATTACAGTGTATTTGAGCCTCTATGACTATCAGGTTTTTTCCAAAAATAACATTGAAAAAATCAGCACATTGGTAGCACAATCATACCATTTTATACAATATGATTAGTTTTAATTGTCAAGCTATGGGGATGAGTTCAAAAGTACCTTAAGAACAGATGTAGAAGTTAAAATGGATAAAGCAATTATGGTAGTTTGAATTTTTAGTACTCAAATTGTAAGTTTCAAAGGAAATGGGCAAGGTAAACAGCAGACTGAGAGTTAAGGACTAAGTCCTTGGACCCCCGCCGCCCCTTCTTGCTCATTAAATGAGAATCTTGACAGTCTTGTTCTGAAGGGTCATCTTCCGAATCAAGTGTAAAAAAGATAATGTGAAAACTGTTTAAAAAAAACGACTTTTTGTAAATTCATAGCATTATAATGAAAAGTGTGATAGTAATTCTGGCTCGCCCACCTATATTACACAGAGCGTCTAACTCATTGATTATGCTTTGTGACCCTATACGTGCTTTTTCTTTTGTAGTGTCCTATTTCTATTCTGAAATGGAATTTATAGATAATATAAGAGGCTAGTCACATATTTTTCTAATTCAATGTAGTATCTTATTGGTAAGAAATAAATGGGAAGTGATTTATAATGAAATGTTTGTATACAATTACAGTGTAAGACATAGCTGGCACCAATATAGAATCATTATGACTGTGGCAGCTACCAATAGAGACTGATTTTATTAAGGTACTTCACGTACTGCAAGAGTGCTGCCACTGGCAAAGTGACTTTCCAAAATGGTGAACAAGTCTAGTAAGGCTTCACAAGGGAAACAATAGAAAAAATAAACAAATGGGACTACATCAAAATAAAAAGCTTCTGCACAGGAAAGGAGACCATCAACAAAACAAAAACACAACCTAACAGTTGGGAGAAGATATTTGCAAACCATGGATCTGGTAAGGGGTTAATATCCAAAATATATGAAGAATTCATACATCTCAACAACAAAAAAAACTAACAACCCAATTAAAAAATGGGCAAAAGATCTGTACAGAGATTTCTCCAAATAAGATGTATGCATGGCCAACAGGCACATGAAAATATGTTCCACATCGTTAACTATCAGGGAAATACAAATCAAAACTACAATGAGACAGCACCTCACTCCAGTCAGAATGGCTGTAATTAACAAAACAGGAAACAACAAGTGTTGAAGAGGATGTGGAGACAAGGGAACTCTCATACACTGCTGGTGTGAGTGCAAACTGGTGCAGCCACTATGGAAACCGTATGGAGTTTCCTCAAAAAGTTAAGAATAGAACTGCCATATGATCTGGCTGTTCCACTGCTGGATATTTATCCAAAGAACATGAGAGCACGATTGCATAAAGATACATTCACCCCTATGTTCATCACAGCATTATTCACAATAGCCAAGGCTTGGAAGCAACCTAGCTGCCCATCAAAGGATGAATGGATAAAGAAGATGTGGTACATTTACACAATGGAATCATTACTCAGCCATAAGAAATGATATCTGGGGCCGGCCCGGTGGCACAGCGGTTAAGTGCGCACGTTCCGCTTCTTGGCAGCCGGGGGTTCGCCTGTTCATATCCTGGGTGCGGACATGGCACCGTTTGGCACGCCATGCTGTGGTAGGCGTCCTACATATGAAGTAGAATAAGATGGGCACAGATGTTAGCTCAGGGCCAGGCTTCCTCAGCAAAAAGAGGAGGACTGGCAGTAGTTAGATCAGGGTTAATCTTCCTCAAAAAAAAAAAAAAGAAAGAAATGATGACATCCAACAATTTGTCCACATGGATGGTCATTGAGAGTATTATGCTAGGCTAAATAATTCAGAGGGAGAAGGTCAAATACCATATTATCTCACTCATAAGTGGAAGATAAAACCAATAAACAAACACATAGAGACAGAGATTGGATGGGTGGTTACTAGAGGGGAAGTGGGGAGGGAGGAGGGTGAAAGGTGTGATTGGGCACGTGTATTTGGTGATGGATTATAGTTAGTCTTTGGGTGGTGAACAGGATGTAATCTACACAGAAATTGAAATATAATGATGTACACGTGAAATTTATGTAGTGTTATAAAGCAATGTTACCACAATAAAAAAAAAGTAGTAAGTCTTCAAATG